GGGGGGGGGTTTGCACTGTGACCATACATCTATGTTGTATAGTTTCAGGGTTACGTCATATTCAAAGCTTGTCATTTTGGATCATGTCATATTTGGGTTGACACATAAACTGTGAACCCCAAAATTCCTTCTTCCTAAATCAAAGACTACAAGGTCCCCATAGTTAAGCTTATAATAGTTTGTATTACATTTAATTATTGGTAGTCAAGTTTTTCCTTGTTGTAGGGTTTACAATATCTCTTTTTGGATAAGCAGGGTTTACATTATCTCTTATATCTATTTTCTTGTATAGTTGTACAACGGAACAAAAGCTTTCTCCCTGACTCCCTATCCCATGCTTGAAAATTAGAAGTTATCCGAAGGATTATTCAGTCCTTTTCTTGGAACTAAACTATTTTTTTTTTGCCGGAAGAACTTAGGGTGGGACATGAGCCCAAAAAGGAAGACCTCTATCAATGTTAGTCTGGTCGTTCTCTCTGTCCAAATCAAGCAACTTCTAGCCTTGAATCTCTTTAAACATTATTGCTACTTTACATTTTAAATAAAAAACCTACAATGGAATAAAATACGAGACGAGCACAATTTATGCCTCTTCAACCCGCCCACTAGTGGAATTCAAAAGAGAGTTTGATCCTACCAAACTATGAAAATGGATAGTTGGTCAAGAAAGCTCAAATGAGGAACGTGAAAAATTAATTAGGTGTTGAGTTTTAACGTCTTCGCTTGGCTTTACGAGGACTGGGAGACTTTCGAGGATAACTACAACACACTTTCCCACTCAAAGAGGGTAAACAAAAACAAAGGCATCTTCGTCCGGACATCCAAGAAGCAATCTATCCAAAGTTTCATCCATATCTACTTTCTATACATCCAACTGTAGAGGCGAGAGAAAAGGGAAAGCTTGGTAATCCCCCTATAAAAAAAAAAAAAGAAATCTCTTTTTTTGTATACCAACCAAAGAAATTTGAGCGCGCAGAGAGAGCAACGCAGTATATAGCGCAAAAGAGTCCAAATGCAAGAAAGGCAAAGCACAAAACTTGTGGTCTGTTCCTTTCCCAACTATAATGAACTTGCCCAAAGGAAATCTTTGATCTTCTTGCCAAGAAAGAGTTTAGTTACCAAGTTCGGTTACCATAAGCAAAAGTATAAACCTTATATCTCCGATACATAGGATAGAATGTCAATTTCAAATCCATTTGGGTAGATAGTATGGCTTGACAATGTCAAGTTAAGACCGTCGTGAATTAAACATAAGGTCCGTCTCAGCCTTGACTATGGAATCAGATTTTCACACAACTATCTTCCCCTTGAATCCTGGTTGGCAGTCTAGATTAAGTCTTGGGACTGGTCTTTGCTAGATCTTGTTCAGTTTCATCCAAACTCGATTTTGTCTGAATCGTCGTGGAAAAAGAAGCAATTCACCAACCACTACATCTGTGGATCCCATCAAATCATTAAACTAGGCGATTGTTCGCTCTTTGATCAGTGATCCACCAAGGGCGGCCGCGGGGTCATTGAAAAAAAGGCAAACTGTTCTGTTGAAAGAGATAAGTGTTGATTTGTTACCAAGGGTTTTGCACAAAGAATATGACATGCATTACGATAAGACTTTTGCTCCATTGCAAAGATGACACATTTTACACTTTAATTAAAGTAACAGGTATTCTTCAATGTAAACTGTCTTAAATAAATGTCAAAAATATTTTCCGGAATATCAATTTGGCAGAAGAAGATTTTATAATTCCTCCTAATGCGTTCCAAAAGACTACAAAGTTAGCAAAACTTTNAGGTATTCTTCAATGTAAACTGTCTTAAATAAATGTCAAAAATATTTTCCGGAATATTAATTTGGCAGAAGAAGATTTTATAATTCCTCCTAATGCGTTCCAAAAGACTACAAAGTTAGCAAAACTTTGTATGGTCACAAACAATCTCCTTAAGCTTGATTTGAGAAGTCCTCTCATGTGATCTATGACTTAGGTTTTCATTATAGTGATCATGACTCCACTCTTCCTTGTTCTACTTCCACAAGTCACACTGTTCTTTTCTATAGTGATAATATGATTATTATTGGGAGGGATTTGTCACTTCTTTCTTGAAGTCTCAATTATAGCAACAGCTTAAAATGAAGGGTTTTGGTGTCTTTCGACATTTTTGGGAAGTGGCTTTGTCTCCTAAGAGTCAAAGGCTCGATTCACGAACTCTTAAAATGTTGAGACTTATGTCGAGTTTAATTTGCATTACACTTCTACTAATGGTGTCCACTTGGTTTATCCTACATTGTATCGAGTACTTGTTAGTTATGCGACCTGAAATTGTTCATGCTATTCATACTCTGAGCAACTTAGTCTTTTCTCCAACTACAATTAAATGGTTTGTAGTTCTTTACGTTTTGGGTCAGTTTTGGGGAATTTACTTTCGAGTTTTTTATTTTCTTTAACTTCTTTGGAGCATCGTGCTTTTTCTATGCGGACTGAGTAAGTAATGGCATGAATAGTAATCTACTACTGCTTTATGTGCTTTTCTAGGGGATTCTCTTCATTCCTGCAAAGTAAAAAACAACTCATTCTTGTTCGTTCCACTACTATGGTGAGTATCATACTATGGCTACTACTACATTAGCAATGATTCGATTTACATTGTTGTTTGCTAATATAGGCATTTTTGTCTTCTGATCCTACTCCTACATATTGTGACAGCAAGTATGCTACTCAATTGCACACAACTCTTTTTTTACAAGTAGACCAAACATATTAAGATTGAATATCGTTTTGTCCAACACCATGTTAAACTTGGAACTATTTCGTTATTGTTTGCAAGATTATATTACATTATTGTTATATTATTCTCTTGTCTTATGTTTTTCCATGAAGGAATATTAAACAAATCTCATTCTCGATGTTGTGCATTAGCTTGATCTAAGTTTACATAGTATCGAAGCAAGCCTTTGCCATTTTTTGTTCATCCCCTTCCTCGTCCTCATCTTCTCCTTCATCGGGTTTTACTTCCCAACCTCAAATCATATCTCTACTCTTTTTTATTCTATCTGCTTCGAACACCTTCATAAATCTGATTTTACCAATATTGACCCTTTCTCAAATGATATTCCTAGTGGTTTGTATGTTCGTGACATGCTTATCTCTAAGATTCACTTTTTGTCTTTGTTTTCCGCTTCTTCAGTGTTGCCTCCTTCTATTATTCACACTTTATCGCAAGAACAAGACCAACTGCAATGCAAGTGCAAGTTCTTTCCCTTTTTGGGTTGCATCTTCCCTAGCTTCGGATGATGTGGATCCTCACTATTCTCACTATCCTACGGACATTCATAAGTGTCCTGTTCACCTTAGTTTTTATGATACAATTATTGTTGGAGATGATTCTAAAGCCAATTCTGACTTGAAGTATTAGTACAACAGCACCTTGAGATGAACTATCCTAGTTCCCTTATTTTTTGGGCATTAAAGTGACTTTGTCTCCAAATGGTTATGTTCATTCTAAAACAACATCTGCAAATGATGTTATCAAGAAGGCTTGCATCACTGATTCTCGGACTGTTGAGATTCCTGTTGAGCTTCTTATGCATCGCACTTCTACTGATGATGTGTCTTTGACTGATCCTACTTTCTAATGGGTACTTGCTTGTAGTCTGGTATATCACATTATCATGCAACCCAATACTGGAATACCGCAACTATGTTGTTCAACATGTGAGGCAGTTTGCTCCTCTAACTATAATTTACTCGGATGTCATTCTTCGCATATTTGAGTTATCTTCAAGCAATTTTACCTCAGAGTTTGTTGTTTTTTTTCACATTATATTTAGAGTTGCGTGCTATTGATTTTTGCAAATTTCTAGGTGATTCTCTTATTTCAAAAAAATAAGAAATAAACAATTCGCATTTGTTGCACTGCCAAGACTGATTATCATGCTAAGGCTATGATTACATTAGAAATAGTTTGGTTAAGATAGTTGCTTACTGATTTAGGTGATTCAAGTTATGTTCTTACTTCTTTTTTTTTATTAACAACGAAATGTGTCATTCAGATTGCATACAACTCTATTTTTCATGAGCAGACCGCAAATATTGAGATAGATTGTTATCTATGCGCCACCTTGTTCAACCTGGGAGTCTGGGACTAGTTCATTGCAGTATGCTTCCTTTACTACTGACTAATCCCTTCACAACATCTTACACCATGCTACATTTTCATTTGGACCTTGACAAACTCTCAATTCTTTCTACCATCACGCCATGAATTTGGGTTGAGGACGTGAGGTGTTATAATTATAATCGTAACTGTTATCTTCATCATGGGTAATCTAGCATTTTTCATTTTACAAGGTTTACATTATTACTCATATATTATCTGATCTTTTTTACCACGTAATGTTAGACAGTTTTCCTTATCCACTTCTTGCATTAGTTCGATTTGATCTACATTTACACCAAAAAATGAAAAATCTACTTAATCTACATCGTAGCAAAATCAAATTTAAAACCATTTGATTCTATGACAATTAATACAATATTAGATTATGAAATTAAAATTTAAAAAAAAAAAAACATATTTTCTTCATTCAATACCTGTTATTTTGTCATGTCAAAATAACACGTATTCATGTTCGACATTAACCCAAGTACTTAACCCATTAATTATCAGTATTGGTGAATCTTGTCATTTTTGGGTTTGTGTCTCATTGGGTTTGAGTCATCTTGCGGGTCGTGTCGAAAATGCCACCTTTAGTAGAATGAAAGCTAAGACCCAATAATAGAAATGAAAATCAAGGCTGCATACTTGCAAGGGAGAACGATGTAATTAGCAGTGATACCAAGTCAAATCTGGTTACTTTCCACCAGTTTTGGCACAAACTACTGGATCAAAGGAAAAAAGAAAAGTTGTAGTTGCCGTAATTGGATACCACAAAGAGAGAGAGAGAGAGAGAGAGAGATACCAATGTATATGGCACGAAGCATAGCTTTAAGGTTATTGATGTCATGATGGAGCCGAGATAAGTAGCTAGCAAGATCATCACCATCAAGCAGATCAAGTGCTGTTAACTTGTGCTTTTCTAAAACAGCATCCAGTGCGGCCAGATAAGAATCATCTCGTGACTGTGCTTTATAGATAAGATCATAGATCATATCTGTCACCTTTGACATTGCAGACACAACGACCAGCTTTCTTTCTGAGTCATCCTTAATAATTATCTCTGCAACATTTTGGATTCTTTGGGAGCTTCCCACACAGGTGCCACCAAATTTATGAATGGACCAGGTATCACCCTTGGGAAGCTGAGCAGTTTCTATTGATTCACCCAGCGAAAGATCTGTCCATGAATAGGAGGGCAGGTATTAATAGAAGCTTAATACTAGAGTTATCATACTTGCACATGACTTGAAAGATCAAATCATAATTCAAAAGAAATAGAGGACAGGAAAGGAACCTGCGCTTGTAACTGAAGCAAATATAGTAAATGATGATGACTCCCTTCTACCGCACTGAGAAGCAATAGCCATTCTGACATGGAAAAGAAAACACTACCTCCTTCAGCAGTTGACAATCAACAGAAAAAGAAAAAAAATTGAAAAAATTCAATCTGGGGGGTGCAACTTTGCAGCATACATTAATTTATTATGCAAAAGAAAAAAAGGAAAAAAGAATCCATTTGATACATAGATTAAAAATGGATGTGTAAAACAGATATTCACATGTTAAACACTGTCACATACTAGAAGAATTCTACCAAATATGGTAAAGCAGTGTTATTTAAGGCGTAAAGCGAACCGAAGCGACCAAGGCTCCTAACGCCTAGGCGAGAAGCGAGAAGCGAATCGACACGCTTTATCGAAGCAAAGCGAACAGTTAAAAAAAATATATACTTATAGTTTAATTACTTCTAAACAATCTAAGTTCTAATTTTATATATACTAAATATTTAAATGCAAGTAAAACCATAAACATTTAAATTAAAACAAACACTAATAATATCTCAAATCTTAATAACAGTCATAACTTAAACATTTAAATTCAAACAAATATTAACAATTGTATACATTTTCATATTGACAGGGTAGGACAACAAAAGACGCAGAATCAGGACAGCAGCAGAATCAGCAACAAAAAAAAAAAAAGAAGCAGAATGAGGATAAAAAAAAAACAGAAGCAGCACAGGACAGCAAAACCGAAGCAGCAACAGAATCAACAAAAAAAATAGAAGCAGAATGAGCTAAAAAAAAAAAAA